CCTCAGATACTTGTTTCCTTTCAGAAAAGGAAGCATCACTAGCAAATCAAAGCAGTACAAAGATAAACAAAGAAATAAACACTGCCTGTCGATCTAAACTTTGTATAGGTCTAGTGGTCAAAAGTCATGCCAATCAGTTAGGCTTCTGCGTTTAGTCTTGATTCCCAACTGCGGGATTGAGAAACATCCAGATGATTAGAAAGGCATGCTTCTGGGAGTGTCTGGGAGGGTTTACCAAGGGGCAAGGGGGAGACCCACCCTGAATACAGCCTGCAAGTCAAAACAAAATGAAGGGAGAAGCAAAGGGCTAGCACCTCCAAAGCCATAAGCCCACACAAAACCCTTCTCTTCAACTCATTTCGAATCAGGTGTTTTGTCAAAACACCAAGAAGCTAAAACCACACCTTATAGCATTTTTTAAAAGTAGATTTTTTTACTTAATTCTTAAATATGTGTGACTGTCAAAACTTAACACTTGCTTTTGTTAACCAACATTTTAAAATCAATGTGATGATATTTATGATACATACTGTGGAACTCGTGTTCAGTGCTTTGCTAGGCACTGGACAGGAGTGAGAAAGAACTCATAGTCCCCAGTCTCCTGGAAGAGTTTTGTTGTCTTATCATAAGAAAATTGAACTAAGGCCACTTACATACAGTTTTACAAGTTATAAAACTCAGTTTATATAAATTGCTAAGTGAATATATACTTCCTAACACTTTGCATACATAGGAACTATTCTTTCACATACCGAATCCTCTACTCATACCCACTATGTCCCCTTCTAGGAACCAACTAAATGGTGCTTTACTAGCTAAGGCCACAACTGCGCACTTGGCAAACCTACTGACTCTGATTTCGAGTTCAAGGACCACACAGTATGGCCATCCTACAATCCCCACCTCTCTTCCCTTATGATGCCTCTGTTACTACTCATCATTCACTTACTTGCATCTCAGGGCACTCTCTCTAAACCGGAGATGCACTCCTTTGGATGTATACTATTTCTCCTGGCTTTTGCCCAGTTACTGGGAAAGAACACTAGGTCTCTTACGTTCCTTTTCTCTTTGAACAAATCATCTCTCTCATCCAGGATACCACATGTAAATAATGCTAGCGATCTTCTTGTATTGAGATAAGAAAAAAGTACTGTTTAAGTATGAAGAAAAGAAGGATGTCACCAAAATGACAGGTCCCAGAAGCTTTTGAAAATATGCAACCAGTTCCTTTAAGAATGACATTAAATAAATCTCTAGAATTTTATATATGCTTCTACCTCAAAATGTATGCACAGTAATGCCATTTATATTATCAAAAGTTTAAGTCCCTTTTACAGCAAAAGTATTCTCTACTTCATTTTTCTTTGCAAAAGGAGCCCATTTGAATAGTATAATAGGTTGGATAGTCTGAGTTCTAAATGAATCTTCACACTAACTTTTAATATAATGCACTTATAAAATGAAGGCATCTCATATAAGATATACTAGATTGAAATGAATGGAATAAATAACACCCATTGTATCCACTAAAACGGGAGAGATGGGGGGTGACAGACATAGCTATCGGCTAAGAAAACTTCACAGAGTGGGGCTTAATGTGGACTGTAAACATCTTGGTTGAAAGGGTAACAGGTTGTGTAGTCTTGGGGAAGGCGAATTTCATGATGGAATTTGTCGTTATTTGTGGTCATTGACACAGGGTCTTGCTATGCAGTCCCAATTAGCCTGGAAGTCACAGTATAGAGCTGGCTGATCTCAAATTTTTGCGAATACTCTTGCCTCTGCTTCCCAAATGGTGGGATTACAGACATTCATCACACGGGGCTGAAAATGAAGATTTCTTAAAGAAAGTGAGGGAAATTTTGATACATTAGGATGGGGCCAATTTGTAGCTGTTTGAAGATATCACATTAGTGTGTTTAGTCGATATTCTTACACAAATAATGGAAAGCCATTGAAATCTTCGAAGAACTAAATTCTCACCCCGGTGATGTAGATACCAGAGACCTGGAACAGCATGCAAAGTATCAAACAACTTCAAGCCGTGTGATAAAGGAGGTGAAAGAAGAAAACACATCAGAAAGGCTGAGTTTAAGGAAGAATATGCTGTCAGGAAGGGAGACTGCTTGAGTAAATGGGAGTAAGGAAGGAGATGATGAGTGCATGAGGCTGAGTGCTGTTAATAGAAATCCCATGGGAGCCACATGTCCTTTGTACCTTCAAAAGAAAATAAAATAGGCAGGAGAAATTAGGTTTAATAGTGCCCCAACATATTCATATAATTTTAACTTAAAATTAACATAAAATATTGATGAGATCATACAATTTTCATTTGTTAAAAACACTAGTGAGATTGTTGATTAAAATTATTACTGGTGAGCTGGAGAGATGGTTCATTAGCGAAGAGCACTGTCTGGTCTTCTAGAGGACCCAGGTTTAGTTCCCAGCACCTGCAGTGTGGCTCACAACCATCTATAACTATAGTTCCAGGGATCTGATGCCCTCGTCTGGCCTCCATGGTATGCATGTGATGCACAGACATACATGCATCCAGAGCACCCATATGCATAACTTTTTTTAAAAAAATAAGCAAGCAAATAAAGAATTTTTATTCTTATTGCTTCATACTAAATCTTTGGAATCAGGCGTCTGCCTTATATTTACACATATCCCAATTTAACTAGCTACATTTCCAGTAGTTTCATAGCTGCCAGTGGCTGGTGGTGATCATGTTGGACAGTGGGTTATTAGAACTGACAGGCTACTTAGCAAGTTTCTTAATTAAGATGGTGCTAAGTCTCACTTCATTTTAGAAATTATAGTTCTATATCTCTTTCTGTAGACTTTTTGTTTAAGCTCTTTGAGATTCAAGATTTTTGTTGTTGTTTAACCCAGGACCCCAAACCACCAGAATTTTCAGATGAACCCATGATGTATTGCTTCGTTACTTGGTGTTGCTGCTGCTCTGTTTCATTTTGTTTTACTTAAAATTTAATTACCCAAGTCAGTCTAAAGAAACTGTCTTCTTTTTCGGTCTTAAAACTTGTGATTATGAAATAATGAAGCACCATGTCCTCAAAAACCTTAGATAAATATGGCATTTAATTCTTCTTCTTTGGGAGGGAAGACTGTACTTTTTCCACCTCCCTGTCTGCATCTGAACGTTTTCCCCAGTGTCGAATAGCTGATGTAAACTTGCAAGACTGTCAGTCTTCTCAGAAGAATGCAGTACAAAGGGGGGCCTGCTTCTATAGAACACAAGCCAAGGACATTGTGTTCCATCTTTACAATGAAATGCAGATTTCCTATTAAAAAGGCCAATCCATCATTTCAAAAGGTTGAATAGGATGGTGCATTAAAAAAACCCAGCTGCTTGAATTTAGGGCATTGAAAACCATCCAATTTAAAAAAAAAAAAATGTTCTCTGGGTCTTAAGCATTTTCATTTGATTATGTATTGGAGAGGGTTTTATTGAATCTAGTCCGGCCTCTTAGAATTCTGCCCTAAAATAGTTTGACAAGTGTTTTAAGTAAGTTGGACTCGGCTCTGTTACCTCGTTTACTTGAGTAATATATTTTGCTATTTAGCATATCCGTGCATTTATGAATAAATTATTACTTTTATACAGGAAATATTGAAATGGGCTCACAGTGCTCCGCTCCTGCATGTTTTTCCTAGGCCTCCTGCACCCCTGCTGAGTTTCTTTTATCTTTTTTTCATTGCTTTGAAGGCTTTGTTTGCTGGAGCGGCCATTTTGTTTTCCAACCAGCTTCCTTCAACGTTTACAGCCTTTTCTTTCCACTGTCTTTTTGTAGTTAAGTATGGAGTCTTGTTTTGTTTTGTTTTGTTTTTAGGGGGAAGGGGCCCCTCTGATGTACTCTGCTCAGCTTTTCCCAAGCCAACACTGCACAGACTGTGCTCCTGAGCCATGAGCTCTCCAGCAGCCTGTATGCTGCAGGAGGAGCAGCGAAGCCCCCAGCCAACCTGGATGTGTGCGGGGGCTGGTTCCCATAGGCAACCATAGATGTGTGCTAGAATTAGAGCTATGAGTAAGTGCTCCACTACTCAGGGGTCTAGTTCCTCCTCATACTGAGGACCACTGTTTAGCAATTGATGCTAATGTGACCTGGTGATAGGTTTTTATCAGGCTTCCTAAGCTGAGCATTTGTCTTTTACCTGTTATAGGGGTTGATAGGCATTTATTTATACATTGTCCCTGGACCAGTCTTTAAAAGTGTTTCTTGTAACTCTGGTATTTGGTGTGTTTCACCAACATGGTTTGGTCACACTTGCAAACCTTACCTTTCCAATATCCATATTCTTTATAAAGAATTATCTGTTTTAAAAGAGAACTTGGGTTAATTAATATGAATATAGTCCTAATGGGTTTTTCTTCCCCAGTGAGCTAAAAAAAATTCTATGAGTTGTGTAAAAGAATCCTTTTGTGTACCTACATAACATAAAGTTAGACCCAAATGAGGGAATGGTTTTCTGTGTTTTATCTCAGTTTATGGGGTATTTCATACCAGGGTCCTTGGGCTTCCACATCCCCCTGCCAATGCTGGCTATCAAAACTGCTTAGGCTGCAAAGAAAATGGGAAATGAAATCCATCTGGCATTTCTCATTGAATTAGGACCAGAACATTTTTGTTAAATATTAACAGATGGCTAAATTCTTAATATCAAACTAACATTTCAAAACATCTAAGGGACCCACATGAGGGGGCAAGGATAGAGGAGCATGTGTTCTCTCCATCTCAGAGTCCTTCCTGTATGTACCCCTCCCCCACCCCAGGCTTTCAACACATGTGTTGAGAATCCCTGGACTCTCCCATCTCAGATAACTTGTATTCCTTGGTAGCTGGTGTAAAAGTAGTGTTTGATGGTGTCAAGGTAATGTAATCAAGCATTATCAAGTGGTAGCCAATTTAGGAGGTGTGTTGCCAATGGTGTGATGTTTTATTAAAGTCCTCTCTTTCTCTCTCACCCCTGAATAACAGGAAAAAGAAAAGAAATACATGCTTCCACTGGACAACCTGAAAGTCCGGGATGTGGAGAAGGGCTTCATGTCCAGCAAGCACATCTTTGCACTCTTTAACACAGAACAAAGGTAAGACAGTGAAGCCGCTTTTGTGTTAAAAATTTTTCTCTCACATTTTTTTTTCCCAGTCAGGATCTTAGGTAGCTCCGGCTAACCTGGAGTTCATTCTGTAGCCAAGGTTGGCCTTGAACTCCTAATCCTCCTGCCTCCACCTACCCCAAGTGTTGGAATTACAGGCAAGTTCCACTGTACCAGTTTTCCTTAGGCTGCTTTTGTATTTTTAACATCTACTATGGGTTATAGTTTCAAAAGATTAAAACAGAGTTGGATTGATCTTCAAATTCTGTTTTATTTCCTGGTTTTCCAGCAGGTACTGAAATCTTGCCAAATCATTTCTTAAACCTGCATTTTATTATCTTATGGTCCTCCTGATCTGGGTTTCTTGTCTACAAACTTACTAATCCTCACTGTGGGCTTTTTTTGTTTGTTTGTTTGTTTTATTTTGTTATTTTTTTGGTTTGCTTTGGTTTCTGTTTTTGTTTTTTGGGATTTTTATTGTTGTGTTTTTGTTTTTCTGGGGAATAAGGTTTTAAAACGACTGCATAGAAGGTAAAAAAAAAATGGAGGGTATTGGATGACTATTTTGTAAGTCAGAAAGCATAGTCTCAATGTTCCTTTGACTTTCTTAAGATCACACAGCTCAGAGTTGACAGGCCCAGAGGTGGGAGCTGAGTCAGGCCTTTGGTCTACTTTTCCTTTCTTGCATATTCCTCATGGCATTTTTCTATTCTCTCTTCTATTGCTGCCAGAGAGCATCAAAGCTTGACTTAGTGCTACCCATCAGCCATCACTTGGTGCTATGGCTGTTCACGAAAACTAAACAGTGGAATTAAACAATGAACGGATGGAAATGGACTAGAGTCAAACAAAAACAATAAAGGGGGTGTTTTTTCTAAATTTTCCCTCAAATGGAAATGTTACAGGAAAAATCTAATTTGTGTAAGTTAATGAGAAGTGAGTCACCAGGTGGCAGGGTCTAATTCTAACCCATGTTTCCTGGCTGCATTTCATCTTTATTTAGCAATAAATGAAGTTACTTGATTAGGTTCAGTGACGAGCCCAGGGTCAATCACACAGTTAATCAAAACAGCAAAAGGAGACTTCTTCCTAAATTCCCAGTCAGTTGCTCAGAGTGACTCAGAATACAAAAATACTTGGAAAAACCACAAGAGCAAACCATTTAAAGAATCAAGGGGGAAAGAAAATTAAACACCACTCTCCAGTGAAATATTGAAGTGGGATTTTCCCCCCTTTGGAGGACTTGGTGTTATTTGAAAGTAGCTTATGTAAAAGAAAAAAAATGCCACTGAAAATGATAATGAATAGAAAGACTTATTGGCGCAGCAATGATCCTCGGGTGGAGCTCAGGACTGTTCAGGGCTCTTTTGGGGCTTCAGAGAATGTGAAGATCCCAAAGTCATTATACCTGTGTGCTCTGTGAGAGTTCTACCAGACCGGAACTCAAGCATATTGTAATGCCCTATCCAACAGGGTTAGTTATTAAAGATCTTGGAACAGAAAGAGATACAACTGTGGGTATTAGAAAGTATGAGAGTCACCAAAGTAATAGTCTAGGTTTTAGAAAACCTAGATCTGGAACCTTTAAATTCTCAAAAGATACTGAATTCTGCCACTCCCCAGGGACCTCTGCCAGGACACAGATGTCCCAAGCAGCTTATTGGCCAACATCTTCTCCTTTGACATCTTGAGCCCTTTGAATGGTTTTTGTGTTGCCCAGGTCTACCAGGACAGTGTTGATCATAAGTGGGTGTCCCTATCCTGTTTCTGATTCCAAAGAGAATTATTTGAAAGGTTTTACATTTAAGTCCTTTTAGAAAAATACCTGATATTAGATGAGGAGCATTCTTTGTATTCCTCAGTCCTAAGGTTTCTGTGTACACTCTCAAATCAAGGCAAGCTGATTAATTTTGTCAATATCTCCACCTACAAGACTACTTGCTTTTCCCCCCATCATCTGCTTCTGTGATGAAACACACTGTTATGTTTTCTAACAATGAATCATCCTTGATCTCCTACAGGCATGGCGGAACATATGTGCCATGAATTCCTGACTTAAAATTGTTAGTATTTTATTGAAGGTTTGCAATTATGTTCACAAGAAAGACTGAACAACAAATGCCCTTTGTGTACAGCCCTTGGCAGGTTTGAGTAGCAAGGTTCTTAGCTTCATAAAATCCATGGCACTAAACCCTAATTGTTCTTTGGAACATTTTGTTTAAATCTGGGATTAACTGTTAATTGGCTTTGTGGTGGAAGTCACTGCTAAACTCATCTAGCCTGGAAGGTGTTTTTAAAAGACATTTTTATTAAGTATTTGAGAATTTCATATAAGTGAACAGTGTATTTTGATTATATTCCCCTATTACCTCCCCCAACTCCTCCCTGACCCATCCCCTATCTCCCCACCTCTTACCAATTTTGTGTAATTTTTATAACCCACCAAGTTTATTTTGAGCTGCCCCTATACAAATGGGCATGGGGCCATCCATTGGAGCATGATTAACCTACTGGGGCCTCACTTCTAAAAATACCTGCTGTCCTTCCCCCAGAAGTTATCAACTGTCAATAACCCTTCAGCTGGGGACTGGGGCTAACAAACCACCAATACCAAAAGGTATTTTTGGCAAGTAGACAGCTAACTCTGACTTAACCTATTTAATGATTGCACACTGTAGAGATCGTCTATAGTTTATTTGAATCAGTTTATGTAAATTATACTTTTTCTACAAAATTCTCCAATCCATTTATTTTTAAATAAGTTAGCACTAAGTGTCTTATTGTTTTCTTATTTTTAACATCTCTGATGGATCTAAGATTTGGCATCTTTATCTCTAATATCAAACTGTACCTCCTTTCACTCCACTTGTCAGAGTTTTGAGTTACTTTCAAAGAAACTGCTTTTGACTTTTTATTCTTTATTGTGTACATTTTTTTCTACTTCAATAATTTCTTTTTCATTTCATGCCATATATCTTCTTCATGTTTACTTCGTCAGTCCTCATTTGGATGTGTGGCTCATCAGCTTGTACCCTTACTGTCTTCGGCTGCTTCCACAAATATTGGTTGTAATATTTTCATCAGTATTCAATTCTGCCGCTAAGTCCTCTCCGTGTTTTTCTCTTCCCTTTGAGTTATTCAGAAATGTGTTTTACATTTCACAATGCATAGAATTTTACTGTTTTGTTGTTGTTTGTTTCTAACTTAATTGCATTGTGGTCAGAGAATGTGGTCTGGAACATTCTGAATTTTCATAAGTACTTCATGCATGTTTGAGAGCATGTCTTCACTAGTTAGAGGTGCAGGTTTCTGGGTCATGCTTGTTGATTGCATTATCTGATCTATGTTGTCGCTATCCTGTTGTCATCTTGACTAATTCAAACACTCAACAAGGGTATAAGACAGCTACTGTGGATTGTATTTCTCTAGGCTTTAAAATATTACTGTGAATGAAACAGGAAACAACAACAACCACCTTGAATGTAGATTACTTCCCAGAGGGGACTGGCAAGGGAGACAGTTAAAAAGTTACAAACAACTATGTTCACAACCTCTTTGTTGTGAATTTGAGTATTCTAGCAGGTCTGTCCATTGCTGTTTTGTTTTTTGAGGATAGTCTATGCTTTTGTATCAATTAACACTTAGAATTCCTCCGGCGAGAGAGAAGGCCCAGTGCCTAAGAGTACCTACTGCTCTTGTGGTGAACCCAAGTTTGGTTCCCAACACCCATATCAAATACCTCACAAGTACCTGTGACTCTAGCTCTGGGGGATCTGCCAGCACACTCTAGCCTCTGTGGGCACTGCACTCATGTACAAATTCACACACAGAGATATACATATGCACATACACATAATGAAAATCAAATCAAGTCTTAACAAACAGAATCCCTAGTGATCTTAAAGAGCAGTTTTGTAATAGTCTTTCATTTCTCATAATGGGCTTTTTTCTTAAAATTTGCTTTGTATTGTGTCAGTGTAGTATGTCTTCTGGTTAATTCTTTCTCCATATGCCTTTGTGCTTCCTTTGTGAGCAACCTCTGTTAATCTTCAGTGTTTCTCTTTTAGTAGCATATACCTAGGTGTCTTTATTTCAAAGCTAATATGAAACCTTCGGGGTGGGGGTTAGTGACTTTAGCCCATATGTATTTTGTAATCATCATTGAATTATTTGAATTTAATTTGAGTGTCATTTTTAATCTTCGTTGTGCCTTTCTATATGGTCCCCCACACACACACTTCCTGACCTCTTGGTTTATTCTTCTCAAGTTTGGTAGTTATACACTGTATTTATTCTTTTTACATTTTTAATACTGTGACATTACTATTTATCTTAAAGTCGTAAGTTAGTCTTTCTAACCTTTCTAAAATAAACTGAGGCATTGTGATTCCAATAACCCTCTCTGATTTCCACGTTGTTGTTGCCAGTATTTGAAATCTGCCTTAGTTTTTCCACTACTCAAGGCAATAGAATAAACCACAAACATGCATATGATGAGTGTGTAGACTTACTGACAGGATTACCAAGATTGCTCACCTTTCTTCTTGCGTTAAACCTGTCTTTCCTTTTGGTTTGTTCTTCACACTGAAGTCCATCCCAAAGAAATCCTCACAGTTAAATCCTTCTTGGTTAAAATCCTCAGTTTCCTGTTTGTTTCCTTTAAAATGTCTTCATTTTGACCTCGTTTTTGAGTAGGGCTTTCACTGGACAGTAAACTACAAACCGACCTTCATTCTATCCCTTATGCTGAAGGTCTTCCTCCTCTAGGACCTACTTCAGTCTTGCTCTGGAGAGGCTACCTGTCAGTCCTTCTCTTGTCCCATTTTAAAGCTAATCTGCATTTTCCTACCAGTTCATTTTCAAGACCATCCCCTACCAGATCATTTTTATCTTTAGTATTCTGAAATTTAAATATAATTTGTTTGTATAAATGTATGTTGTTTTGTGTTTCCTGCTTGAGAGTCATTGTACTTCTTAATTCTGAGGGCTCA